CTGATGGTAGTCTTGGGCAGTTGAGCTTCAGTGCTCGTAGTGGAATAAACACAAAGTTTTAAAATAAAAATAAATCACTGATTATTTCATTATTTGTGATTTCAATCATGGCGGCCCGGTAATCGACTAGTTAGCATGTCTGCCTCACAATGCAGAGGTGCTGGGTTCGATTCTGGCTCCGCAGTTTCTGTGTGGAATTTGCATGTTCTCCCCGTGCCTGTGTGGGTTTTCTCCGGGTACTCTAATTTCCTCCGGTTTCCTCCCACATTCCAGAAACATGTGTGGCGGGTTAATGGAACACTCTAATTTGTCCATAGGTGTGAGCGTGAGCGTGGATGTGTGACCTGCGATTGGCTGGCAACCAGTTCGCGTACTGCCCGAAGACCGCTGGGATAGGCTCCAGCACGACCCACAACCCGTGTGAGGAAAAGTGGATTAGAAAATGGATGGATGGATGCATGGATGGATTATTTCAATATCGATCTAACTACTGTATGACTGGCTGGCGACCAGTTGAGGTGTACCCTGTCTGCTGCCCCAATACACCCAGGGGCCTCATGAGGATAAGCTGTTCGGAAAAATAAATGACTGAATGAAAATCCTGCCAAATAATTGTGATTATATATTTTTTCCACAATCGCTCAGCCTTAGTCTGTTATTCACATGCGCATACTGTATAGTATTTATTATTTATCTCCAGTTGCCATATATACTGCTGCTCTATTTCTGCTCACTCACATTGATGTTTTATGTTTGAAGTTATCTACAGCACTTTGTACATGTTATTGTGTTTTTTAAAGTGCTCTATAAATAAAGTTGAGCTGAAGTGAGATAATGTAAAGATGCCTATTGATAGATTCCAACTTTTGTGTGCTGCTACTCTACACTTAGCAGCTGCAGTGGGATGTCCTTTTAGCAGGGCTAAAAGTTTTTGTTCTGTTGTATTCTGTTCAGTGCTATTCTATTTTATTTTGTCATATTCTGTTAAGTATGTAACTAAGCTCGTGAGGCATGCAGCTCCAAATGCCGTCAAACGTGTCCAAATCGTACCAGTTCATCAGTTCAAACATCAAGATAAACTTGTAGCCTCTACAAAATAAAAAAAAAAAAAAAAAAAAAAAGAGCAAGAGCAGCTAAGAGCAGCAGGGCTATGAAAAAGTATTTGGGCAATGACAGTCGACAGTGGACCATGGATTTGAACTAAAACAACCAAATGTAGACTGAAGAATAAGTAAATGTTCTCAAAGGTATTTGGACATTTCACATACTGTAACTGAAAATTAAAATTATAATTATTAATACCTGGATGAAAATACTTTGCAGTCAATGAAACTGAAGTGTGGGACCCATTTATATCACAAAATTCTGAGTTGATGGAAATGTTTTGCTAGGGAGTTGGTGGGTCTTCCTATATTGCCGTCAGTAAGTGACAAGCATGCTGTGTCGGGTTGAGATCAAAACGCTGGTTTGGTCATTGAAAAATAGTCAATTTTTTTGCCATAATTTTTCTTTGTGTGGGTCAGTACCCATCTGCGCTGTAAAGAACTGTATAATTTTTGTATCATTTTCCTTCATGTGAGCAGACATGAGTTATCATTGTTACATCTGTCAAACACCAGGGAGCCTGTTCATGAAGGGGCCATACTTGGCCATGCCAAAGCATTGCCTCCAACAAGTTCAATGTGTCACATGCTTTGGATCATGAGTTATTTCTTTTCTTGTCCAAGTTGACGGTATGCTACAGAGAAACATAAACCAGAACACGGGAGGCTTTTTGGGTGTTTTTGGACTTTCCAGTACTCACTATACTGCACCTTGTTTTTTCATGAAGGTGTCTCGAGATTGCAGATTTTAAAAATTGTGTGCTACTTTCACCAGGGTATGACTTCAGTTTGTTTTATTCACCAATCTATAATTCACTGAGAAAAATTTTCTGCCATCAGCCATTTCAGTGGTTTTACAGCAACAGAAAGATATTCATGAGACAAAACAGGACATAATAGAATATTCTTCTCTGAAAAAAGTCAGTACCCTGATCTCAACCCAGGTGATGTCCATGGGCTCCCAACTCCAGACAATCAAAGGATTTTTCTCCAAGAAGTTAAATTGCAGTTGTAAAAGTTATGTGTCCAATTGTGCTCCTGTTTATAACCATGAATCATTTGGAAGATGAAGAGCCTGACAAACATGTACAGTATTTTAAATGTCCTTAAAACATTTTTTGATCACCAGCCAATGTGGTTGAAGATGAAACACTGAACAGCAAAATTGAGAATCGCAGATTTTGAAGTTTTTCCATACAGCATAGACTGTCCTCAAAAGTTTCTCTGGGCTGGATGCACTTATGTTCACAATGCCGCAACGTGCTTACGACACCAACACACGCGGCAAAGGCGGTCCAGGCCTATATCATACCTATATCATATCTAAGTAAGTGGCACCCACTTACTTAGATATGAATGGACTAACAATCTTACTTATTCATCAGAGTGAAAAGTGAAGCTTCGGCCCGCCATCTTACGTTGCCACCAACTTTACATTGATTTCTCCTCTGCACTTTCACTTTATTTTCGGACTTGATGGACGATATTGTCACTGGGTGCCAGCGAGCTTGCAACAAGCTTTGCTGACCTCTAGTGTGGCTGAACACATTGCGGATTTACTACTGAGCCACTACCCATCACCTCCATGGCAGTGAATAAATACCAAAATAAATTACAGAAATGAAATATTGAAAAATGTGCAGAGTAACACAATATGGTGTCACATTAATGTTTCAAAGTAAGTTATTGATCCTTAAGTATGTTCTTTTTTGATTGTCCTCCAGAAAATAGGAAATGAAACATTAATCCTTGCATTCTCTTTTTCTCTCCAAGGTTGACCCAAAAAACACCCTGGAGTATGTACCCAGTCACAAGAGGATCTGCTTACTTGTCTCTGGGAATACCATAAAAACATTGCGAAGTTTTCTGCAGGCGATCACCTTTGGCCTTCAGGAAACCCAACTAAGTTGCCGCCCCTGCCAGCAGAGTGTCCTCCGACATAAGAGTGAGCCTAACAACAAACCTTTTCGACAAGCTGCCTTGAAACCCGCCTCTGTGGCTCCTCATATCACCAAATTGCGGTTTCACACCCCAGAAAAGAGTGTCCATCCACCTAAGACAACTAAATTGAAGAGTAGTGGACGGGAGTGTAGGGTACATCAACAAAGTATCCGCCCATCGATACATCGGGGTCACAAGCACATTAAGGAAAGTTCCACATTACCAATGGCCATCGGTCCTCAAATAACCAAACTGGATGTTAAAGCCAAACAGCAGAATGCCCCACCATCTATCTACAAGAATGCTCGGGCAACTCAGCAATTTCCATTTCAAACCATCATCTTGGACTTTGACAAATCCAAAGAGAATCGCCCCATCCAACAGCAGAGTACACACTCACCAAGGACACATACTCACAAAACCAACCATGAGTGTAGTTCAAATGAGAAGAATATCCATCTAACAATCCACAGTGATGCAAGACAAATTAGTCAAGATCTTCCGCAATCCATTCCCTTGGGCCCTTATAAAACACAAGTGCAGACCAGGCCCCATCAGCAGAAGAAAAACAACTTGGAATACAGACACAATCAACACCGTGTCCGTCCACCAAACCGCAAAGATTGTAAACACGGTCATCAAGAAATCTCAAAGGGCCTGAAGATAACCCAACTGGAATGTCCGAACAGACAGACTGTGCACCCAATCTACAGGTGTGACAAAGACATTCAACAAGCTGTTGTACAACCCATCACCTTGGTCCCTGATATATCCCAACTGCAGTGTAGCTCCCATCAGCATGGTCCTCGCCAACCAATTGACACGCCCACTAAAGTTACTAATCAAGATATCCCTGATCCCATCTCCACGGGCCTTCAGATAACCGAAGTCAAGTGCGACACAGATCAGCCATTTGTCCACACGTCAGGACAAAAGGATACTTGTGACACATTCTCTCACATCACCCGGGTGGAATTTTGTCCTAATCTGAAGAATAGTAATAAAGTCCACACGAGTACTAGACACACTCGGCCAGTTGACCCAAAACCCATTTCTATGTGCCTTCGGATAACCCCACTCTAGTGTGGTCTGCAAACTGTCCATCCAACAATTCATAAGGATGCTCGACTCATTAAACTACAATTCGGAGGAGGGCATTCAGAAACCAGATTAATTTGTGCACCCACCACTGTGAGCAGCAAAACACCAAGGTTTTGTGCAAAGGTTAAATCTGGTTCCCAACAACAACCACTGGACTTTACTCAGACAAGAGGTTTGCCGGAGAGCTCTTCTCGGAGCTCTGTTGGCTGCACTTCAATGGGATTGTTGTTGATCAAGGACCATATCGGTTTTTGAAATCTGTCTCCAGATAGGAACAGGCATTAAAAGAGGTACAAATCCCTCATTAGCACTGTCCCAATTTCTTCTACAGTACTGGATCTTCAAATGACAGGTAAACAGACGCTTGAAGTAGCTGGGCTTAAAGATCCATTAAGCTGTAATCACTTTGCAGAGGCTGCTCCCAGACTACAACTGCAACAGCTTCACTCTATAGTTTTTACATTTTATTCTATGCTTGTGATTGTGTGTTGATTATTTTTTACACAAATAATCTTTGCAACTGCATGAGCTGTACCCGATTGGAGAACAAGTGAAAAAAAAAAAAACTGGTGTGTCTTGAGGAAAGTACAAAGAGGTTCGTTCTACTGTTAAATCCGACGTGCCAGGGTTACAAGCAGAATCAATATCCCACCCACGAACCAACAGATTTGCCACCTGAAAGGGAAAGGAAAAATGGCAATTGTGTGCCTGGTGGCAGTTGAGGGCTGGCAACTCTTCCATTAGATGATTACTCTGATCGGTTTCGTACCTCCCTATCCCACATAAGCAAAGGGGCATCTCACAGGGACTTGCTCTCAACAAGTACGAACCACCGACAATGACTAATCTGAGGTTTGACATGACCATTTAGAGTACAGTATCGATTATCTTTCTGCTGTAAACTATACCTGCAGGTGGAACCAGGTGTGCTGTAAGTAAATGCTAAATGGCCAAAACTGACAGAGGGGCCAGAGAAAATAAAATTTTTGAATTCACGGCATTGACATGACTTGACCATCTCTTGCAATTCCCCTGGGTGGGCACATTACAGACTTTAGCAGAACCATGCAATAAGACTTAGATGACTCCTTTTGCATTAACCAAAGATGACATCTTCTCCATGAGCATAGCTTGGAATACATTTGTATTGCCATTTACACAAAAAAGTGTTCTGGCTACTGGCAGCTTGAACAACTTCAATTACAAGGACCTCCTACCTTCAAGCCTGCTGCAATGTATCCTTTAGACTTAGTGCCCTCAAGTGGCACATAAGGCTATCACACCCTGAGTCATATGTCCAGTAGAAAACATTGACTTTTTTTTTTTTTTTACCTTAAACCTGAGTTTAAATGCAATCACGATTTGTTCATTCACATTTTGTCATGTATAATTTGCATTCAAAAAACGATTTCAAGTAAAATATGTAGAATTTGTCAAAACAAAACTGCAAGCCGACTGTTTTGCCATTGCTGCACAGCATTTTGTTAGCGTTATGCCATTATTCATTCCTATTGAGAGGTCATATTCAGAGATACAACTGTAATAAGTCAGGGTAAAATACAAAGACAGTTATTAATAAAGTGATTCGTCTTTGTTTTTACACCTTTATGGTAGGCCCTAAAGAGTGAAACAAAAAAAAAAGTTTCATTGTCGCCAGTGAGGAAAGGTTTCAATAAAGCATATAAATAATGTCTCTCTCGTCCAGACTTTCTAATTATGCTAATTCTGGTGACAGTCTTTATTTGTGCTCACTCTGAGGGCACTCGAAGCTGCTGCTCCCTCCAGGATCTTGGACAGTTCACTTTTGTTGCGAGGCTGTACACATCCATCTCTAAACTGAAAGACAGAGAGATGAAATTAAATTCAAACACAATTTAAGAAGCCAAAGTTTTTCCAATCATTTTTCTTCATTTCCATTTCCATTGCCATTAGCAGGCTTATTTTCACGGGATTTTGTGTGTCTGTATGATATATATATACTGTGTGTGTGTGTGTGTGTGTGGAGAGAGAGAGAGAGAGAGAGTTGCAAAAAAACAAACAAAAAAGAATAGAAGCCCTTTTACAAATGATAGTAATATTGTTTTACCAGAAGTCCTTGTGCTGTCCTCCCAGGTTACTTAATTTATATGGATGGGTAATGCTTAAAGGCGATGTCGGGCAAGGCTTATTTATCCTTGTCAACTGCTGCTTGAATGGCATGTCAGTCTGTGCAGTGCTTGTGGCCTTCACAACTCTGTATCCTTCGCTGCAGGAAAGCTTTTGTTCTGAATTGGCTGGGTTGATTCGAATCCTATGTGCACGGATTCCTATGGGCTTCTTCCTACCAGAGGCTGATTTGGAATTTAGAGGAGGGCAAGGTAAATGTGTGTTGTCACAGAAAACGGGATCCACATCAGCCGACATGGGTTTAAGCTTGTCTGAAAATGATAGTAAGAAAACGGGCAAAATTAGGCATTCGGTCAGTCATATTTTACAACTTGGCATCACACAAAGTTCAGCCACCCTCTCTGGTGTAACATGTTTATTTATTTAAAAAAAATAGAATTAGTCTGTTCATTCTGAGTGTTTTTACCTGTGCATTTAGACTCGAGAGATGAATTAGATGGACTTGGGTCACAATGTTCTTCATCACTTTTCTCGCTGCTCATTGTGTCAAATCCTTCCCATTCATCATAATCGGCCTGTTCATAGTCGTTGCCATGTTGAACAACTAGTACCTGTGGTAGTCTATCTCTCTGTATTTCTTTGAGATGCCTAGAATAGACATGTGTGAGTCATGTACGTACAGAAGAAGTCACTTTAAGCTGATTAATTTAACATGAGATATCACATTTAGCGGGGGTCACTGCATGTTCTCCCCGTGCCTGCGTAGGTTTTCTCAGAGTACTCCGGTTTCCTCCCACATTCTAAAAACATACAGGGTAGGTTGATTGAAGACTCTCAATTGACCCTAATTGTGATTGTGCGTGTGAATGGCTATTTGTCTGTGTGCCCTGCGATTGGTGGGCAACCGGTTCAGGGTGTACTCTGCCTACTCTCCACAAACAGCAAGGAGAGGAACCAGCGCGCCCGCGATCCTCATGAGGATACGCGGCTCGGATAATGGGTGGATGTATGGATGGATGGACATCACTTTTCATTGTAAAGTCATTAATATGCACAGAGTTGGATAACACACAGTGAAAAAAATATTGGAACACCTAGAGTGCTAAGAGTTGGACATGAGGGCCTGGAACACAATCTCTGTTCATCCCAAAGGTATTGGATGAGTCAAGTTTTCCACACCACACTCTTCCAATAAGCCCTTCTTGGGCCTTGCTCTGTGCACTGGGGCAAAGTCATAACAGAACAGAAAAAAGCCTCCCTAAACTGTAAATTTGAAAGCATGTAGTGCAACTGTGAGGCAGACGGGCTAACTATAGCTGAAGCCATCCACTGGCCATAAGGCTTGTTCTTATGAGGGTCATGGGGAACTAGGGCCAATCCCAGCTGACCTTGGGCTAGAGATTGGGTCTACTGGACAGTTAACTGCAAGGCACATAGACTTATTATAATTATTTAAACTCCCGTTTACAGCCATAGACAATTTAGTGTCTTCAATTAATCTCACATGCATGTTTTTGAGAATGTGGGAGGAGGCGGAGAAACTGAGGGAAACCTACGCAAGCAACAGGAAATCATGGAAACTACACACAGAAAGGACAGAGCTGAGATTGCAATCTAGAAGCACTCACCTTCATAATAAATCTATTGATTAAAATGGTGCCTTTCTATAATTTAGCATACAGTATTTATTACGGGTGATACTTTAACATGTTAATTATGATTATTTCATTCCAAATTATCCATCCATCCACCCATTTTCCAATCCGCTTATCCTCACAAGGGTCGCGGGGGGTGCTGGAGCCTATCCCAGCTCTCTTCGGGCAGTAGGTGGGGGACACCCTTAAAACGGTTGCAAGCCAACCGCAAGGCACACAGGGACGAACAACCATCCACGCTCTGACACCTAGGGACAATTTGGAGTGTTCAATCAGCCTGCCGTGCATGTTTATGGAATGTGGGAGGAAACTGGAGTACCCAGAGAAAACCCACGCAGGCCCGGGGAGAACATGCTGGAATTGAACCTTGTACCTCTGCACTGTGAGGTCGACGCGCTAACCACTGGACCACCGGCGCCGCCCACATTTTAAAAATTAAACATTTTAATTGTCTGCAGGGCCTTGAGTTTGACACCTGTGCATTGCACTGCCAGATGCATCAGAGCTGGTGCAATGGCTTACCAAAATAAAGAAATCGACCATATTGCTATGACAGTTCAGAGGCACAGTTTGCCAACCGTTAAAAGAAAGCAGAAGAAGTCATGCATTTTCGCCAGTAGCCACCTTCTTTATAGCATGCTAAAAAAGGTGGTGGTAATGCAACAAAAGTGTTTGCCAAAACACTCAAAGTGTCGGGCATCCGGAAGAAAATAGAATAAATAGAAAAAGAAGAATAAGAGTCCCACCCCTAATATTTATTTACATTTCCATGAATTTATACAATCAGACGTCAAAATTAGTTATTTTCCATATCTAATGAAGAGGGAGCTATATACCTGCAGTGTTCCTCCCTCCAGGTTCTCACTTCAGCAAGCACATCATTGCTCTCCTTCCCATCAATGTCAGGAGGGTTCAGCATATGCTCTGGTACATGAATGGGCTGGTCAAGGGGGGTAAAAGCAGACATGCAGCATACTGTCTGTGAGGAAAAAAATACATGTACATATACACTGAGTCAAGACGGCTGAGTAAGCAGAGACAAAAAGAAAAAAGAAAAGTCAAGCATGACAGCAGAGGTTATGCAACAGCACAAATATAACTTAATGAACGCTAATACAAGATATGTATGTAAATATCTCCCTTCCCAAATAATGCTCAACAAAAATATTGAATTTGTAGTTCATCTGGACCTCATCGTAAAATGTACTTTCACAACAAAGCTTTATTCCATGCCACCTACCTTCAACTTTTCACGTCTTGCTCGTATAGCCTTGACAGGGTTTCCACAAAACACAATCTTACCAGCTCCTGCACAGATTATGTAATACTTCAAAATGTATATCCTGTTTTTTGCATTGTCTTTGTTAAAGAGTTTGTCATCATGAGGCAATACTAAAAAGAAGCAAATACATCCATAACAGGAAAAGCATATGTATGTGTGTGTGTGTGTATGAACTGTATAGAGAGAAAGAGAGAGAGAGAGAGAGAGAGAGAGAGAGATACATACATACATACATACATACATACATACATACATACATACATAAAGAGAGAGAGAAAAAAAGAGAGAGAGAGAGAGAGAGAGAGAGAGAGAGAGAGAGAGAGAGAGAGAGAGAGAGAGAGACTATAGTAAGTAAACATTCATGTGAACGATCAGAATATGTAACCATGTGTGAGGACACTGCTGTCTTCGTTGATTTCAGTTAAGTCTGAATCTTCAGAATCAGGTGTGGGCAGTGGAGAGGAAAGAAACCCAGATGAATTTGTTGATATAGGTCTGGATCCAGTTGTGCCTGCCGATGAGGGCGGCCGAAGGCTCGAGGTAAGACGCCTGGATGAGCTGGGCCAGCAATATGCACCGGTTGCTTCCGTTTCTGTATAGAAAATGACACGTGTGTCATTAAAACACCTTTAAACAACAGGTTAATTCACAACAAAAACAAAAGCGTACGGTCTTCGGTCGATGCCGGTGAGAGGTGCCTGAGGCAATTTCGGAGGATAGCCCAGTCTTCCCACATGGTGCTGCTCGAGCCCAACCTGCCATCCTCCACTCTTGCATTGTCAAGGTAACTCAGCTGTGGAACCAACTCACTCACTGTTTCCCGATAATTGAAGTCGATCTGGTGGGGTGAGCAAATGAAAGTAAGGTAAACTAAATCTATGTGACTGCAAGTTGAAGGTTTAAAGATGGCATACTTACAACAGAATTATTTAAATGATCATATCAAAGTTTGAACTGAACATTTCTCATCTTCTACCAAACTACGGAGACACCATGCAGAGAAAGAAAATAACTCAAGGAGCCACCATGATACAACCTCAATTCCAGAAAAAGTGGTACATTGTCCATCCATCCATCCATCTATCCATCCATTCATCCATTTACTGATTGCTTATCCTCACAAGGGTCGCGGGGCACTTGGCTTAAATATTACGTTTTTATGAATACAATTCTTCTCTAATGCTCCAGTTATAAAGTATTGCACACTAAATTGAAATCAAAACTGCACATCTATAACTGTTTCACTTTTAAAAGATTAAATGAAAATGTATTGTACTTTTTAAGAACTTTACTTTAGAAAAGTACTGCACTTAAAAAGGAAAAAATGTACGACATTGGATTTTTTAAAATAAAACAGGCTGTATGCGTAAACTAAATCTATGTGACTGCAAGTTGAAGGTTTAAAGATGGCATACTTACAACAGAATTATTTAAATGATCATATCAAAGTTTGAACTGAACATTTCTCATCTTCTACCAAACTATGGAGACACCATGCAGAGAAAGAAAATAACTCAAAGGGGGAAAATGAAAGCGGCGGGAGAATGTGAGGCTTAGGGAGAGAGGAAATGAGCGGTTGTTTGTTTGTACATTGGAAAGAGTTTGGCAAACTCAAGTTGCCAAGTCAAACCCTTAGCTGCTACAAAGCGCAAGCCTAATACATATTCAGCTCAGCCCTTCCCTACATTGCCCTAGTTTCCTAATTAATTCTCTGTTGGTGAGCATAAATAAACTATTTTACAGTGGCCCCGTTCCATACAGTTAAAAATCAGCAGAAAGAGAAAACCATGCCTCTGCCATATGCAAAATGTGCAGTTGTACTAACTGGCCATTGAAGAGATCCTAGAGCCACCATGATACAACCTCAATTCCAGAAAAAGTGGTACATTGTCCATCCATCCATCCATCTATCCATCCATTCATCCATTTACTGATTGCTTATCCTCACAAGGGTCGCGGGGCACTTGGCTTAAATATTACGTTTTTATGAATACAATTCTTCTCTAATGCTCCAGTTATAAAGTATTGCACACTAAATTGAAATCAAAACTGCACATCTATAACTGTTTCACTTTTAAAAGATTAAATGAAAATGTATTGTACTTTTTAAGAACTTTACTTTAGAAAAGTACTGCACTTAAAAAGGAAAAAATGTACTATATTGGATTTTTTTTAAATAAAACAGGCTGTATGCGTAGCCACAAGCTTCATTCTAATGTATTGATTGTATTTCATGTTTTAAATATATATTACTTGTAATCAATTTCTGTGATTATTTTACGTACGACTAGAAAGAGCCAGCATACCAAAAGTTGTACGCATACCACCATTTAAGAATCCCTGAGCTAAAGTATAAAAACATATTGGCCTACTTGTGTGGTAGTCGGGTTTGGCTGCAGACACACGGGGTTTCCCTCCAAGGTGAGGGTCTGCAGCTTGCCACACAACCTGAGATACTGAACCTGGATGAGATCATTCACATCATTCCCTTCCAGATCTAACACTTGTAGATTCTCCAGCATGCCAACCGGACTCAAGTCTGACACGTTGTTAAAGGCTAAGTACAATTCCTGAAAAGTAGAAGATAAAATGTTAAAAACAAACAACAACAAATACAACTGCTTGTACATTTTGATTTAATAGACACGTTCTGAATGAACAAGTATTTTGACAATAAACTGTGACTTATGAACAGTACCCTGAGAGAGGAAAGAGTCGAAATGCCATCCAAGTCTTGCAGGCAGCAACAAGACATCCAGAGAACATGTAGGTGGGATAAGGTGGTCCCCAAGTTCCTATGGCAATAAAAACAGGACAAATAAAACTTTGACATTGAACTTTAGCCATACTGTAGTATTAGTGGTTTTTATCCACAAGTTCCATTACTACTTTCTGCTGCATGTTTTTTCATCGTATCACTGATAAAAATCAAACAACTATTTCTTTTTTTTGAGCTATGTGAAACTCTGTTGACAGTGAAGTTCATTTTCAGTTTCTGTAGCAAGAGAAGAGTGATGAATACTCAAAACTGAAAATACAAAATAATGTAAATCTGTTAATAAGAGATATTCTGAAAATGATGAACATAGAGCACCATGTGTGTACATTTACTTCATTACATCATTGAGGTACGTGGTATATACTGATCACAAGTGTAACAGAAAATGGATGGATGGACAAAGGGCAGTTTATACTGCAGACGATGACGTCAGCAGATATGCAGGCGGAAGTTAATTTCATGTATTGTGTCATTTTTACTCACCGTGTAGATATGAGGACACTGTTGTTCATTTTGAGCTGCACCAGCTTGGGCAAGTAAGAACCTACAGAATGACATCAGCTCGTGAAATGACAAATAAAATGACCTTTTTAATGAGTCGTAACAAAGCCCTCAGTTAAATTCCAGAGAGCCAGGTGGAGAGATAGCCTGATTATCAGGCGAGCCAAATATCAGCGCCAATATTTGGCATTTTGTTGCATGTCGGCATCTGCCTTTTTTTTAATCTGCACGCTGATAAGAGATTATCTTCAACTTTTTAAACCTCAGAGAGTTCTTTCTTTCTTTTTTTTTTTTTAAATTTTTATTTTCAGTGACGGTCTAAGAGATGTTGCTGAGGCTGGGAACTCCTTGCAGTTTTGAGAGAGAAAACCTTTATTTGTCTCACAATGGAGTTATTTTGGTTTTTTTTTCAACTTAAAACAAGGCAAAGCGAATAAAAAAATTATACAGCATAAAAATCTGAAAAGCTGCTTCATAAAAACAAGCTTAAAGATAGATATCGAAAAAATATCATGGCGATAATGGGACATGCAATATGTGTATGTCAAAAGTATGCATTGAAATAATGATGAAATTTAATGCGTTTATCTGACCTTGACCAATCAGATGCATCCTTAAATGTTCATTGGCATCCAATAGGAGAACAGTACGGGCATTAGTAATGCTAAATAACCTAATTAGATGAGAATACATTGAGCCTGATTATTGTTCCATGTGAAAGAATATATATGGTATTCTATTGGAACTCAACTCAACTCAACTCAAGTGTATTTATAGAGCACTTTCAAACAGCCATCGCTGCATACAAAGTGCTGTACATGGAGCAATTCAACATATACAACAAACAGTAAAGCAAGTCGGTAATAAAGATGGTAGAAAGCACCGAAGAGCAAAACCAAGAACTCTGAGGAAAATAAAGATGTAATTTCTTTAGATACATGTGAAATATTGCAATACTTTTTATATCGCGGCATTGAACACCCATATCACATGTTTTTCCAATATCGCGCAGCCCTACTTGAAGCCATTTAAACAAAGGTATGTGTTTTAGTTTGTACTAGTCAAAATTTTGACATAATTTCATTTTTCCTGCAAATGAATATCTGCTCCAAATATCAGTTAATGCCCTCCTCGGCTACGAATGATCAGTATTAGTATCAGCGCTAAAAATCAGTCTATTTCTAGCCAGGTGCTCTACTTTTTTGTGTCTTACTGAATTTGTGGGGTTTTTTTTGTTTTTTTTTTACTTACAAAAATGTCCGCATTGGCCATCATATTATTATACTTATGAAAACTGTGTGACTTTTATAGTTGAATATTAACTTTACATATAAATATTTATCACACAAGGAGACTATTCTTAAAAAAACAACAAACAACCCCACATATATACAGGAGATACTACAAGTGTATTTTTCTAAAAGAACGATACGGTAGTTAAAGATTGCAGATGTGCTATGTAGCTCACCAAAGTTACCGAGGCTGTTTTCTTGAGTGTCCACGCAGATTTCCAGTGAAGTCACCTGAGACAGATCTTTTGTTCCGCACAGTAATTCCTGTGAAGGACAGATTGAACTCAGCACAGTTGCCTATTATGTATTGTTTGAATTAGACGGGATTTCTATCTACAGCACAGGTGTCAAAGTCAAGGCCCGGGGGCCAGATCTGGCGCGCCACATCATTTTATGTGGCCCGCGAAAGGAAATCAAGCATGTCAAGTTCCATGATGCTTGCTAAAGTCCGAACCAACATTTCTAATTGTCATATGTAATCCACAATAACAGTCATTATTTTTGACTTTTGATTTTAAAACTAGTTATTCATAAATTAGTTGTGCACTGTGTATGTAAATGTGGAGGTGATTAAACATTTATGGTTTCCCAAAATTCAGAACAGCCCTCCAAGGCAAACCGTAACTGCAATGTGGCCTGCGACAAAAATGAGTTTGACACCCCTGATCTACAGTATATTAAACAGCTAGCACAGGAAGAGAACTGCAAAGGTCAATTATCATGGAGGAAATTCACACTTTTGATCTACAATAGATACAACATATTCACGATGTCAGCCATAAAAATATAACTACAGCAGCCAGTGGCACATTGTCAATAGAAGGCACTAGGGTGCTAACCTCCCGCCCAGCTGATGCACCTGGAAAGTGACAAAAATGTATCCATCCGTCCATCCATTTTCTAATCCACTTATCCTCACACGGGTCACGGGAGTTGCCGGAGCCTATCCCAGCTGTCTTTGGGCAGCAGGCGAGGTACACCCTCAACTCAACTCAACTCAACTGTATTTATAGAGCACTTTCAAACAGCCATCGCTGCATACAAAGTGCTGTACATGGAGCAATTTAACATATACAACAAACAGTAAAACAAATCGGTAATAAAGACGGTAGAAAGCACCGAACAGCAAAACCAAGAACAAATCTAAATCATGCTGAGTCGAATGCTAAAGAATACAAGTGAGTTTTGAGGAGAGTTTTGAAGATGGGCAGTGAGGAGGCTTGCCGAATGTTCAGTGGGAGGTCATTCCAGAGAGAGGGACCAGCAACAGAAAAGGCTCGATCCCCTCTGAGCCTCAGTTTAGTTCTTGGTACTTCTAATAATGTCTGGTCCGCAGACCTGAGGCGCCGGGCAGGTGTGTATGGGCGGATGAGCTCAGAGAGGTAAGGTGGCGCGAGGTCATTTCGAGATTTGAAAACAAATAAGAATTGGTTGCCAGCCAATCGCAGGGCAGACAGACAAATAACCATTCACACTCACTCTCACACCTAGGGACAATTTAGAATGTTGCATTGACCTGCAACGCATTTTTTTTTTGGAAAGTGGGAGGAAACCGGAGTACCCAGAGAAACATGCAAACTCCACACAGGAAGAGCGGAGCTGGAATCGAACCCTGCACCTCTGCACTGTGAGGATGGCGTGTGAATCAATCAACCGCTGTGACAAAAATTAAATCACGAAAATAAAATATTATCATGAAAATACTTCAAAAATGTATATATGTGTTGTCAAATGAGTAGGATACATACTATACAATTATTGACAATTAATTATGGTATATGTATTCATTGATCTCTGGCGTTTCGAACAAAGATAATTTAGTGTATGAGAACATCAGCTTAGTGTTCAATTAAGCAGGCCCAGATTTCACACTAAGTAATTCAATTTGTGAGTAAAGTGAGAGGGGATCATGTTTATTTTTCATTCATTTGATGACATATTGGTTCGGTGATGTGCGGGGAGATTTTTCTTATGGTCAATTCCCGGCACATATAGAAAAACAAGCAGTGACAGTGAACCTTCACATTCACACTCGCACTCACACCCGTGAACAAGTTAACACTAATGTTTTTGGAATGTGCGAGCAAGCCCAAATACCCCAACAACAAAGCCCACAAGCCTGAGGAGAAGATGCAAACTTCACAAAGGAATGGCAAATCTAAGATTAAAGCCCATAACATCTCCACTGTTAAACAGATTTGCTAACCACAATTCAACGGAATTGATTTAATTCAATGTATTAATTTAGATGGTCACAGATACTGGATGTGTTTGGATCAACCCTTTCTGTAAAGTTCACTGAACTTGCAATACCAATGAAGAGAGAGTATATCTATCCTTGTGTCTTTTGTGACCTTACCAGCCTCTCCTGGGACAGATAGAGTTCCACTGTTGCTTCCGCTTCATCACAGACTTCCATGGCTGGAGCTGGGTTGAAGGGGCCTGATTCATCCATCACAGTCACCTGGACCCGGCCAGAACCAGGCCGAATTTCCCGTTTACTACACGCGAGTCCATTATTGTTTGCTAGCATCATCTAAATTGAAATTATGCGCCTCACTTTACTTTTACCTTTGCCTTATGAAAAAGATAATTCAGCCATGTTTTTCACCCAAGGACCGCCACTCGGGCTGTCAACTGTTTGCTTGACAACCACTCACTCACCTTCCTGGATACGGCAAGGGCGTTCCAGTGGCTTGATGGGAAATGTAGTTTAGACCAACTCCGAAATACGGAAGTAAGAAACGAAAAATTACGCAAATCGATCTTAAAAAGAATCATGATTAATTGTAGTTCATATTAGCAGTTTTTTTCTCATTTAAAAATAAAGAGGATTACCGTACACATAGCTTCATCGCTGTCTAAAAGCGACGCGGAGCTTTACTTTGGATGCAAAGACAACCACTCCTATGTTTATATTGATTATTTGCTGAAAACAGTGTAAGTCGGTGTGGCCGTTTTCCTGTTATTTGTGCGCGCTCCTGCGAAATGCGCGCGACGGGCAGCCACGGCTCGTGCACATCGGGGCGGT